AACCAAGCCTGCAGAACTCCAACAACACCAAGCCTCACATTTACAGTCACTTGGTGTCCATGCTATCATTGGAAGCCATTCCCATGTACTTGTAGGTCACACTCTCAAAGAACACTCTCTGGTTGCATACAGTTTGGGAAATTTCTTGTTTGGACCGAAATGTCAAAATCGGGTAATTTGATTGCGTGCTAGCTGTAATKTATAGCACCCAGCAAAAGATTTTGCATGCAATATTCAATATTCAATATGTGAAGATCAGGTAAAAAAACGCTGCAAAGTGGACTTCTAATTTGATTCGAAAGTTCTAGCTCTTTTGCATACTTTCCAATTAGATGATTTTGCATTTCCAGATAAAGAAGCTTAGTGTTAGGTCATTGGAGTTTGTTTTAGTCATAAAATGGAACCGCATACCGATTGGATCAGTTGGTTGAGCATCGGACTACAATGCGGGAGGTCGTGGRTTCAAACCCTGGCCGGACCAATACTCAGGGTCTTAAAATAATTGGGTAGAAGTTGCTGCCTTTGTTTCCTCATTTGCAAATGGTAAGATCTTCACGTCCTCTCGGATAACGACGTCTCTACACTTCTTATTTACAGMAGAGGGACGTTAAAGAACCCACACCACTATTCGAATAAGAGCAGGGCACGGAGTTTCGGGTGGTGTGGCCAGGGCTAATCACACCAGACAGCATTGARGTCGGCTTGGCGTAGTGTTCGTATAAAGGTTACTAGTCAATGAGACCTGATGCTAATATACAGCTAGTAACCCAATGAACTTTGCCAAGTGCTGGAGCTATGTAGATGTAGATGTAAAATTAGAAGTGCTGTTTTGTGACTGAACACAAGGCTCGCTAGTGTTTTTGATTTGTAGTGCATTATGACTAGCCAGTCCGGGATATTACTAGTTTTGGGAATATTTTGTAAACACAGCTCTTAACCAATCACAGACGAGAACACATTCGCGTTCATGGTAACAATCAATCATCACAGGACATGCAATACATTTCTTTTGAATGTCGTAACATATTATTACGTAGAAGTCTCTGCTATTTGTATACGTTTGGTGTTCTATTGATTGAAGTGTATAAGACACGGCAAATTTGATAATGCTCGTTTTGTTTTGATACCGTCGAATGTTTTTGTTTGTTGTTGCTCATCAAGTAAATGTTAAATCAAAACCCTAATCTACACACATGAAGCTCTTTCTATCAATTGAACAAATAATATACGCTTCGAAAGAGGGCCGATTTAAGGCAGTTAAGCCCACGAGTAGTCCCGAACCGTCACAGAAACGCACGTTCGATTGTAATCAAGGTGATTTGAGTTTTCCCTTTCTTAGCTTCAAGTATAACGAATTCATTCCTTAGTAAAAATCTTCTAGTAGTTTATAACTGTTATAATGACAGCACAACACATGATAAGAGTAGTGTATTTTAATATTTATCAAAGATACTTAGCACACTTAGCACCAATCCCAACGTCTCCATTTTATCGCTGCTTTCCTCCTCAATGTTTATAAAATGCCCCAGCATCGTTGAATTCCTTCACATAAAATATTAAGTCTTGCCGTATTTTCTTCTTTTCTTTCTTGACTTGTGATCATTGTGACTTTCTATCAAGGAAA